ATTCTAGCTAAATCAATGTTATTTCTTCCAGAATACTGCTGCTTCCGTTCCTAGAGATAAAAGAACATAGCTCACTGTCAGTAGATAATTCCTCCTCTTGGGCTTTCTGTCCTTGACCAGTAGAAGTTTTTATTTTTCTTAGACAAGGAAGACTTTCTTTATCCCCGGAAGATTAAATTGCCTTGCTGGCAAATCTAGCTCACTGAAGAAACGGAGGAGGAAGAGCAGATAGGGAACAAATAGAAAAGAAAATAATTTTAGGGTATCTTTACAGTCTACTATTGTTAGGATGTCAATTACTATCATATATCACCTATACCACAATACCACAAACTTGTCATACCTTAGGGTATTCTCTTTTTTTTTTTTTTTTTTTACCCAACTACTAGAAAATGTATCAATTATCCATAGAAAGTTTTTTTTTATTGCTGGACTCGTCTTTAAAGTATAGCTGTGATGCTCAAAGAGATTTACATTTTAGCATCCCGTTCAGAAGCATGAATATTAAAAGATCATAGTTGGTTGTTGTGTTTGTTTGTTGTTTGGGTTTTTTTTAATGGAATTGTGCATTCCATGGGAATAATGCAGAAAATACTGCCCTTTTCAACTTTTTTAGTTGGTACTGCTGTGTTTTAAATGATGTTAACCTCACACTATAGAATGGCTAAGAATGGTAGATTAAGTACTGTATTCTATGGCTAGGCTCTGATTTAACACTGTAACACTCCTTTTGATGAGTGCACAGGGCATTCAGTTACTGTAAACATGGGTTTTCCAAAATGGTGTATAGGTGTAGAAAGGAGGTTAATGAACCCAGTTACTGAGGGGGAGAAAAAAAAAAAAGAGCTTCTCTAATTGACAAAAAGGTCTGCAGGGAGTCAGCCAGGTTGCACACAGGTGAAGCAAGCAGGCTGTGGTCTGTGATCCTGGACGGTGGTTAGTTATTGATGGCTGCATTAGGCATTCTGATTACCGAGACAGCTGTGGTGTGCTTAGCTCTTAGCAGTGTTTTTCTGCCTCCACAGCAATCAGATTTTCAGAGTATCAGGAAAGAAGGGAAGCACTTATTCACAGAATATGTCAACTTGCAAACTTTAGGTACAGATCTTTCCTTTTCTCGGTAATGTGGGAACAAGACCGACTTAACTTATGTTCCTCGGAGTCCATGTGTTCATCCCACCCTTGGAAGCACAGTGCAACTCCATCACTACACCCTGGTAGTGCTTGTGTGACCTTTTGAGGGCAGCTCCTGTCCCAGAGGCTTTGATGTCAAGTTTCAGCATTGACTGTGACCGGAGAAGGTTTGTCAGAAGGGCTCCCAGCTCTCACTGGGAACAGAAGACAGAGGGTAGATAATGAATAGAGCTAAAAGGTCAGAGGTATCTTCTAGTTCAGCTCTCCCTTGGTCAAGTTCTCCCTCCTTGATCTACCTAGTTCTTACGTAGACTCAGTCCTCAGTTTCCTTTCAATTAGAGCTTCATCCTACTTTTCTGTCCCTTCCAGTTTGTGTATCACTTGTATTTCTTATTTGCTTTCATGACTCAGGACTTCTTTTCCTCTTTTCCTTCATGCTATGTCATTTCTTCTGGCTGGAACAGTGTCCTCCTTTTCTGAAAGGAAACATCAGTCCAGCAAGGAAGATTAAAGTAGATTTTTAGAATAAATTCATAGGGAGTCTCAACCCCTTGAAAAAACTGGAAGAAAATGGCAGTGAGTTTCAATTATAGCGAGCTTTATTTCTGAACAGTATAATGTAATTCATAGTGTTATCAATATCTATAAAAGCATAAAGACAGCAGTAGGAGTTACAAAAAACATAATAAAATCAAAAGCCTTATGAAAAGTATAAAATTAAACTTCAAAATACTGTAGAAGAGGAGGAAGGACCAGGGCTAGAACTGCAAATCGTAGGCTATTCTGGAAAAAAACAGCTTTGGGAAGATCTAAAATTGAAGCCAAAAGATGGAGGAAGCCCCCCAAACTAACAAAAGAGCAGCTTATCTAAGCCAATTCTAGCTGAATAGGTTAGGAACTGAAGAGGAAGGGAATGTTAAGCAAATTTGGTTTATGTTGCATGCAGAAAGAGGAAAATAATCACAAAATTTCTCTGAGTAAAGGGTATCAAAGAAGCACTGTCAGTTTGACTTATTGCTGAGACAGTGTTTAAAAAATAAACAAACAACCTCTTGGCTTTTTCTTCAAACTTCCTCTCTAAAAAACCCCACTAAAACTCAAAAATTAGAAATCTCAAAAATGATCAGTCAAAACAACAGATTCTCCTTTAAACTTACTGTGTTAGAGGTTAGATCACAAATTCTCTTGCCCTATGATAAATGTGATTAAAACCATAGGGATTCTCTCCCATACCACCTTGAAAAGCAAATAACGCAATGAAGAGCTATATCGATGAAGTGTTGCATGCTCTACTGTGTGCAGTTAATGCTGCACTTCATACCAGCAGCAGCTGCTGTTAACAGTGTGAAGATCTGGATAACCCGTCCATTTTCCCCAAAATGGGAACTGTGTCTGCCACCAGTGTGGACCTACAACTTGTGTCATGGGCACCGTGCCTTGAAGGCTTACGACCTTTTGCTTTAAATAAAACCAGAACTGAATTAGATTTTGATGAGAGAACATCAGTAAGATAATGGCAAGTTGGATCAAGAGCTACACAATGGGTTTTCTTTTTTTTTTGTCATAGAGATGATTATCATTATTTTGCCCCAAAGACTAGATTTTGGAATCTGCCTAACTTTTTTTTACTGAAGCAAATGATGATTTATGTCAGTTCTCATGTAAGAATCTGCTTCATTGCATAATACAGCTGTTACCTTAAAAGTTCTGCCTATGGCCTGTGCAGCATTATGGATTGTTACATTTGGAATAAGGAATGCTTCTTGCAGTTACACAACTTAAACAACTGATGCAATGGGTGAATCTTTCCTTGTGATTTGTAAGAGAAGGGTTGCAGTTTTCCCATTTCCAGTTAACTAAAGTGTTTTGACTCAATGACAGACTCAGTTCAAGAAATGACAAAGAAACCTTAGACAAAACAATGGTTTTTAATGTTATTAGTATCTTGGGTTGTTCCTGAGTCAGAGTTGTTACTTCTACTTGAGCCTAACAATTCCTACTTTTTTCTTTTGCTAGTAAAATGGTAGGCACCTAAGACTAATGCATGTTACTAGTATTAGGGTATTAGAGACCTTTTCCTTGTCAAATAAGCAAATTCTTGGTTTGTCTTTTCAAAACTGAGGTGTTTAAGTTTGCTGTTGTGTTTTCATAATGCTGTCTCAGTAAGCTGATTTGTTTGTGTTTGAGTTACTTCTAAATGTTCTTCTGTGGAAACAGGAAAATTGGAGATATCTATCCCAGGCTAGAGAAGTAAAGAACAAAATCTGTGTCATTCGCTGGTAGGCCCTGGTGTGTGCCAGATCTGTGTTTTCAACCCCACAGACCCCGATGTAATTCTCAGCTCTTGGTGTGATACCACCTGCTAATAGGAACTGCTCTTGCAGAATTCTGCTAGCCATAATAAGGTGTACATTGTATAAGAATAAAAACAGCTCAGCTTTATTACGTGGCTTGCATGCCCGGTAATGAATAGAAGGAAGACGCATTCCTTCACGAACAGCAAAATTTAATATAGTCTCTTCCTGGAGTTGCACCAGTGGGACTGAAAGTTTATCTCAGCATTCCAAGGGCAATAAAAATCTAAATTTAAACTCAAAATGTCTTGCTGGGGCAAGAGTATCCGGAGGCTCTGTACTGTTCAAACTTTGTTTAGGTCATAACTGCTTATGTAAAGTTAGTTTATATCAGCTAGTTAAGTTTTATTTTTTCAAGCAGCACCTCTACAGCTAGGAGAGACATAGCAAGTGGAGAGGATGAATCTGAAAGTTCATCTCTGCTTTACTGTTGCATTTAATTTGGCTTCTTACAGCATACCGCACAACTCCGAAGAAATCCCTAGCTCTTAACTTTCATTGTGTAGATGTCTTTAAATCTATTCTAAATCATGCCTGTAGTTAAGACATCTTAGATATCAGGGATTTAAGGTAATATGAAGGGAAGTGAAAAAGATACCGAGTGAAGGCCAGTTATAGCAGGTAAACTGTTAACTGTGAACTCAGATTGGAAAGACCAAATATAAAAAGTAACCAGATGCTGGCTGGTGGGCTCTCAGTTCAGAGTTTCAGTGGTGGCTTGTTCTCTTTGCCTGTAGTTTTAAACATGGGATGGGGAAGAGGAGAAGATCAGATGCCATGTCTGCAACGTGAATATGAGTAAGATGGGATAAGGGAGTGAACTAGAGACTTTCCTGAGGTCACATGAACAATCTGGTGGCAGAAACACATGTGAACACTTTATGAGATTGAGTCACCACATATTCCAAGACCCTTATAACCTCTCTTCTTTCTGGAGAGGGCATGGCTGCTGGATTTAGCCACCGTAAAGGAGAAGGGGCGGTTGGAGGAGTGTAGGAGGGGGTAATTTTGGTGAGAAAACTTGAGGGGAAGCAGTATTCTCGTTCATTGCCATTTTCTAGCCATGTTCCATTTCTGCATCCCACTCACGTACACAGGGATACAACTACGCTTCCACATAGCGGGCAGGGAAGAAGTAAAGGAGAGCGGGTTTCAACAGAGTTGAGCTTAATGCCACAAATGCTTGTTTTATTTTAGCTTTCAAAGTCTGTCAGCCTAACTTAGCAGAATCAAAAGTTTTTAAGTTTTCTTTGAACAGATATCAATGTGAGGTATCAATGGGATGTGAAAAGTGCTGTGTCTCTGACTTCTGTAAGAGAAACTGAAAATTTCTAATCATTTAAAATACAGTTTGTGGATGACCCATTACAGTTACAAAATGCGTTTGTTTAATCTCTGTTAATTGAAATAGTTTTGCTATGGGAAACATCTTTAAGGAATTTGATATGATGACAAAGATTGTGAATTACAGTGAATCAGAGTAAATTATATAAACATACCTCTTCTTATTCAGGAAAAGTCAAAAAAAGGTTTGAGTATGTTGGAAGACTAATATGCATATGATGTAATCTCCAAAACTGTCGGTCTCTAAAACTATGGGTAAGTACACAAAGAAAATAGTTGAGAAGTCCTTGCCTTGTATAAATGTTGGGATATGTTTACAAATCATGTGTCTCCTGATAAATGTTTCCACTTCTTTCTGTTTCGTCTTCATCTTAACTGCCAGTCCCCACTATTTCCATCAGCTTTATGTACCATTTGTTGGTTTTGCCTGCCTTCCCAGATACACTTAGATTACCTGCTTCACCATGACTGCTTTTTGCATTCACTGGCATTCAGCCATTTGCATTGCTAATTTTTTTTCAGTCCCATAATAGCATTTTAATACAATTATAGGGTCTATTTCTTTGTTGTTTGTGCACTGAAATTCCCACTAGTCAGATTTCTTTTGGTGTGCAGACATGCAGGATTTCCTCTGATGTCTGTTGTTGTCTGGGCTTCCAGCTAAGAGAGCCACAGCTGACTCAGCTTTCCTGAAAGCTAAGATGCCACATGCTTTCTTATTTTCCTTGAGTACCCTGCTTCACACATACTGCATTCAAAGTTTTTTTGTTAGTTTTATTACAGCATTTTTATAAGTTTGTTTGTCTTCACCAAGACAGCTTTCCACCCATGAACAAATGTTAGCTATTCCTAAGATGCATGTGTGCATGTTTCAACAGTACTTACCACCATGATCTTAAAAGGTAAATATTTATTATTCAGTAAAACTGTTACTTTTAACTGTGGATATGCTCGAGCATGTTGCTGGATTGAATTGTGTTAAGACTGGACAAACATCTAAATGTTTCTAATCTTTCCCAAATTTATTTAGGTATTTATGAGAAAAAAAGATTGTTGTTCCTCTTAGTGTCTTTTACATGTGCTTTTTTTGCTCCAACCCTAATTGTCTGGGAGCTATAGAAAATGCGAATTTTCAAAGCAAATGAAACATCGGTTACAGACTTATAAGCTTCTCTGGAACATAGCTGTTTCCTCTAACTCACTGAGACATTGCTTTGGGGAACAAAAAATGTATTTGTTCTCTGGCACTTAATTATTTGGCTTCCTTGAAACAGCCAGTTAAGGAGCTGACTGTTTCTGATGGCAATAGCAGTTGCTGCAATCCAAATGAAGCATTTGACTGCAGTTCTAAGGTACATGACATAAGTTACAGCATGGATAATGTCTCCGTTACATGTCAAACAACTTTGCTTCACAAAGCCACCTAAACAATTCTACACTAATCATTTAAAGCTGTTGATATCATAATCAAGTACTTGGCTATTCTTACTGGCTTTTTGGATTTCTTTGTAATTGTTGTGTAGTCTTTATATTGCATGTTCTTCTCCGTAATCTCACTGATTTTTATTTTAACTCACAGTACCAACAGTTGCAGTTCCTTATCTTTTTAGATTTACTTCACAAGAGCAAACACAGAGAAGGGAATTGTACAAGTGCAACTGTGTGCCTAAGAATGCCTAGTGAGATTTGCAAAGGACTGGTTAAAAGTCCTACTAGCCACACACACATTTTACAAAGATTTCATAACACCTGTTGATTCTATGCAAACATGGTGCAGTGTATGGTGCTACAAACACGGACATCGGGAAGCGTGTAGAGAAGATGAAGTTACTTATTACTTGACATTAAAAATCGCAGAGCTACTAGAAAAAGAAAAATTGCTTTAGTATCTTTTCCCTTCTCTTTAATAATAATAGTAATTAAATTTTAATATGTGAGTTCTTTGTAGGTCATTAGTGGTATAACTCTGCATATATGTGTCTGCTTCAAAAAACAGTTCTGTCCATAATCTTGTAGTGTTGAATTTTACCTGGCAGTTTTATTTGAACTTAATTTCTTTTTCTTCTAATGCTGTTACCCTGAGAATTATGAGACAGGCCAACAGCTGACAGCACCAGGGGAGGGATAGGTATTGGCAATGGCATAAAAGCAGAAGGGGTGGAAAACATAGCTATTGTAGCATTTATCAGTATTCTACTAATAGTCTGCTCAGACACAACTCTGGAATAAAATAGACATTCATACTGCAATTTCTTTTAAAGGTTGAAGCTATTTATCTGCAGGGTTACAAGACAAAAGTCCAAACCTCACCGATATTATAGCTGTTTCATTGTATTTTTATAAGAAGAACACCCTTAAAAAACCATTGCCTTAGGTGTAAATATTCCACCCCATTCCCTTTGGAGGGAATGCAAATACAGCCAACCATCCTTCCTAGAGTTCTTTTTAAGTAGTGTCTTTACCTGTGAAAACAAAGCTATCTATAGCCAAATATTCGAAGCAAGCAATGGAGTCAAGAGGCTTATAGTTTAGGGTTTGATCAACCACCCATTGAAGTGTACAGAAAGGCTCTTGTTTCCCATGGGTTTTATATTGTTTCAGTGAAGGACCATGGTTTCACTGTGTGTAACCAGGTAGAGGGATGTTCCACAAGAGCTCATTGTTTTTACTGTAGAAGAGACTTGAGCCAACAGGGTGGGAACGGTGTCCAGAGAAAGCAGCCAAGTCTGTGAGTTCAGAAACCCACCAGACACCATGCTACATGGATGCACGTAATATCTGTGGAGACCTTTGTAATTCTGATTCTGGGTGGCAGTTGCGCTGTTACCTGTGTACTCTTTCAGTGCCCCTAGTGAACATACACGTTTTAGGCTGAAATAGAAATTCTTACTCACAGAAATGATTCACTTAGGATTTTTAGGGGAGGACAGTTTAGATCCTGGGCTGGATTCAGACCATCTAACTCGGGTATCTAAGACACCTGGATTAGGAGCTGGGGAGCACTCTCATGCAGACACCCTCTGACTTGGCCTCTGCAGATACCTCTCTGACATTACGGCATTTCTAGGGCAGCTGCTTTCCTAAATTAGGGACTTCACCAAAGTTGTTTCATAGAGGGTTATACTGGCAAACTTGTGAACCCCAAGTCAGTGGGGATAAAAGAAAGAAAACAACCCACCAAAAAAAAAAAAAAAAAAAAAAAAAAAAAAAAAAAAGCTTGGTGTTAGCAGACCTGTGACCTATTGCTACTCTTCCCTTGGAGGCATTACACTTACAATCTTAAACAAAGTTGACATTTTCTTTCAAGTTGATATGCTTCAGATTTTGTCCAAGGTCTTATTTAAAAGAGCTCATTTCCTTTTTTGTTACAATGTGATTGTTAAGCAGGGAGAAAGAATTTCAGTGAACGATGCAGGTTGTCAAAGATGGCATTTCAGAATTCAAAAATACTCCCCAGAATGGGTTATAGTTTCCCAACAGTTTCTTCAGGAGAAACAGGGAATTCATTAAAAAATTAAATGCTTTTCATGTACTCAAATACTTCATTTCTGTGTTAGTGAAATCAGTCTGGTTTGTTTCAAGTTTTAAGATGTGTAGAGAGGATTAAAAAGGAAAAAAACCCAACATTTTGAATTGCAGAAATGAGCTATTATTTTACATTCTGGTTGAGAAAATCAGATAGAATACTTATTCAGAAAAGCTGTATTTTCTTACAGATATTTAAAGTAAAGAATTTGTTCTTTTTAGAAATCCTGTATTCTGAAATTAAACAGCTATATAATTTTCAGTTGGAGTATTTTATTGTTTTAATTGTAGAACAGACACAGTTAACTGGGATCCTTGATAAAACCTACTTAGTCAAAATATTAGAACCCTGAAATGGGTTCAGATTACCTTAGAAAGCACTTGTCATGTTCAAGATTATTGGCAGAGAAAGGAAGATGAAGAAAGGCAATACCATATCAGTATTCCCAGTTGTAAGCTTTTGGTGTTACTTTCTATATGTTTTACTTCATTCTTCCATAGTCAGTCATGTATGTTTAGATTTATGGAAGCTGAGTAAGAATGTTTAAAGAAAATACTGCTTTCAGGTTAAGTAAGGACAAGAAGTATTTGGTAACTCTGTAATAATTACACTAATGTCTTCTAGTTTTTGGAGTTCTCACTAGCCAGCCCTTGAAGGAAAATATTTTGTGTGCACGTTTCTGTTGTCTGCCTTGTGTCAGAAAATGCATGTAAAATGCTACCAAGTCTGACACCTAGTTTGTCTCCAGTGTTTTCCTTATGTAAATGACTACACAGCTGCATGGAAATAGGAAAAATGTCTCCTGTTTCAAACAAAACTTCCAGCTTTCTGGAGTTTGAAGTCAATGGAAGGGAATATAACTGGGCTTATTTTATGTGAGATAACCATGAGAAAGTCTGAGAGCTGAACATAGCTCTCTCTTTTTGGTAAAAGTTTCTGGCAAGTAAAATGCATAGATGAAATTAAATTAACCCTACTGCTCCCCAATTAATGTATGAGGGATTTTTGCCATATGCTTTTTTTTGTTCAGTTTTATGGACAACATTGAGGTTTCCATTGTCTCAAAGCCCTAAGAGCAAGCTTTTGTCTCTTTGCTAGCTGAAATAAAAAGAGACATTGTTCTAATTATGAATTAGAAGAATTTAACATTAAAAAGGTAAAATAGAAACTCTGTTCCAAGTGAGTAAATTCTGTTCAGTACACTTTTGTATTGCAATATTTTAGAAAAATCGCTCACTAAAGATTTTTTAACGTGGAAGCGTAAGAAGATAACTTCCTTTTTTGACATTTTACCTTTGCAAAGTTACTGGGCTGTTGACAGGTACAAGAAGACATGTGCTGCACTTACATGCTATTAGTGCAGTAGGGTTTGAAAAATGTCTAATGCATTGGCATATCTGACAATTTAGGGTATTAGTTAAGAGTAAGACACTGTAAATAGAGTGAATTTTAGCTACAGCTGCTGACTTGAGCATTCAGTCAACATCTGCAGTACAGGGCTGAACTATATACAACAAATAATGCCATTTTATGCTATGGGGATGGAAGTTGGCGTTATACAGTGTGTATGGTTCAGTCTGAGAGCAATGGTAATTACAATATATTGAAGTTTTGCATTGTAATAAAAATTGAGACCATTAGTGGATAACATTTATGTCATTAGTATTTAGTGGCTGTGTGTTGCAGCTTTTTTAGTGCTCATAAAACTGTCTCTGCTTGCAGATATGTG